CATCGAGCGGTACAACGACAACCAACCAAATTTTGTGCATAAAGTTGAAAGATAGGTATTATCATTCGTTATGAGTACCATTCACTCAGTGACCATCACGAAGTGCGTTCAATAACGTGACCGTTCAAGGTTAAAAAATTGTGTTGAATGTGGTGAGAATTGAAAAAAAGTGCAAGGTTTGAATTCTAAATAGTGCAAATTGAATAAATAAAAAAGGTCGAGCCATTGCTCCCAGAATAGAAAGATTCTAGATCTGGATAGTTCATACTTTTTGTTTTTTCTGTTGGGTGTTTGGAAAGTCTGTAGAATTATTTGATTTTGAGGAAAAATCGGTGAATCGATTTATACAGGGTGTTCCTTAANGATCTCCACATAGCTCACCAATTTGTAGTAATTTTCGGTCACTTCATTTCATACCTTCTATAATTACTCCATAATATTTTTTTCAAGTTTTCCACTGATGAAATATATTTAATTTTTGAACTAATATTTCTACCAATTTGCTTGATCAATCATGTATATTTGTTGTATTTGATTTCCATTCCTTAGCCATTAGACCTAACGGGAAAATTCTTTCATCAAAATGTTCATATATTTTTTTAATTACGCACCTTTGTGGTGCTGCCAATTGCAAACTATTATTTTCAAGAGGAATACAATTACTTGAGTGATCAGATATTTTTGGTAAATGTTTTATGATGTTGAATATTCACTACATCATCTGCTAATAGATTATCGATCAATGTAGCTGAACTTTTTGTAACTCCAAAATTTTCTTCGAGTAACTGTATAAGAACTACAAAATTGAACAAATCTTTAATTTTACCACTGTATATATCATCAAATTTGTAGTTAATACTGAAGTTGCCTACAATTACTACTTTATATTTTTGTCAAAATGATACTAAGTAATGATATACGCCGAGCAATCACATCTGATATTGAAACAAAAAAAAATTCGTTCATTTTCAGACCGCAAGAAAGATTTAGTAAAACTGCAGGCAGGTGAATACGTGTCTCTTGGAAAAGTCGAAGCTCAATTGAAAACTTGTCCATTGGTAGACAACATATGCGTATACGGAGAGTCCTCCAAAGATTTTTGTGTCGCTCTCGTTGTAGCCAACCATCAGCAACTGAAGGATCTCGCTGAAAGGAAGGGAATTGCTGAAAAGTCTTTCGAGGAACTGTGTGTGGATTCAGATGTCGAAAAAGTTGTCCTGCAAGAATTGGTGGATCACGGAAAACGAAGTAAGTTTGAAACGAATTTCTTCGTGAATTTCTTTGCAATGTATTTGTGATTTCAAATCGATTTTCACTGATTTGATTTTGCAGGTAAACTGGAGAAATTTGAAATTCCTGCCGCAGTGAAATTGGTAACGGAAGTGTGGTCTCCTGATATGGGTCTAGTTACGGCAGCTTTTAAATTGAAGAGAAAAGACATCCAAGAGCGTTACAAGCACGAAATTAAGAGAATGTATGCCTCCTGAAACACGGCTTGGCTGTGAACCACGCCCACAGAAATACACTCATAAATCGCATGATTCGCTTCTGAAATGTGTAAAATTGTAAAGAATTTTGTATTTGCTTTGTACATATTAATGAAACGTATGGAGTAGGTTATGTACCACTTTTATTTATATTAGTTTTACGTTATACATTTTTTTTGTAAATAAGAACAAATTTGTATTTTATATTCGTTTGTAAATTTCCTCTCAAGTGATATAAATTCGGCAACTTTGTTTTTCGATTGTAACTGCGAAACGTTTAATTTTGGTGATGAATCCTATATTCATCTGAGTTAGTTATTAAATTTCGGTTTGTTGTGTTTTGAAAAATGTTCCTGAAAAGACTGTTTAAGAACCGATCGATCTTATGTATATTACTTGTCAGCTGAAATAATCGGTCCACTATTTCTTTGAAATGATGAGACAAGTACTTAAAGAATCTAGATAATTGTAAAAATATTTCCTATTGATATATGTCCGTATGCAGTGTCGTGAATGGAAATAGTCCTAGTTCAATTTATTTCATAGCATTATTCGTCACTGTAAAACTTGACAATTAAAAGAGATCGGAGTTTGGCGCCCAACGAGGGGCGCTTTCATCTGTTCCATATCGATACTCGTTCCACGAATTATTTGCCAAGATTTACTAGACGAATAATGCAAACACAAATGGTGCTCCACTGATTGGTTCTATTTAGATTAAGTAGCATGCATGGGGTAGAAATACATCACAGATTAGATTAGCCGAGGAGAATATTTGTTATGGTTTTGTATTATTTTTTGAGGACACCATAAATTAAATCATCCGAGCCTTGACTGTATTCCAAAATCGGT